GGCATGAAGGAAGGAAATTCGCAGGAAAAAGGCATGCCTTTGGGTATCTGAAACACCCAGTGTCACCACAGCAATTCCAGGAGATTATTTGAACAGCAGGGCTGGTTGTTGCTCTCTAGGGACAGCAGAACACCAAGAGAAAGGGGAGTCTGAGGCATTTTCAGGGGCTGAGGTCCAATACCTAGCACTGCACACATGTTTTAGAGAGCAGTTGCTTTGAGTTAATTCTGTATGGACTGCTGTCAGTGATGGTTTCAAGTCTGTGTGTATAACTGCTCACACATATGTTTGCACTCTGCATTCAATGAATAAGGGGCACAGGGTGGTTACAGGTTAATGGATTTTCAAGCTGAAGTGTTTGCCAGTAGCATTCAGGACATGGAAATTTGGGCCAGAAACCTTATCAGAGACAAACCATCCTGTGGTATCCTTCAGTGGAAGCCCAAGTACTAGCTCCTTAATTTGTTTACCCTGAGATAAATCCAGAGTAACACATTGATGTGCAGGTGATTAATTGGGATGTGCAGTAGTGCAAGGACAATATTCAATAATAAAACTCTTTATGAATGTCCCTCTGAATGACTTGCCCATTACCTGCCTAGCTTAATACCTAAAACTACAATGACCCTGAACCTCTCATAATCCCAGAAGTTTTCTTGAGGACGGGTTAAGGACATTCTTGTCTAGATGGGTTGTTTGTTGTGGGGCAGAGGGGACCACAGAAGCACTTGCAGCATCATTTGATGTGCCTGATAGCTGCTTAGCAAATATAAAATGATCCTGGAATTTTAAAAGTCCAAGGGATGGAGAAATGTAGGGACACGACTTTACTGTGAGCTGTGCTTAAAGAAGTATTTTTGGCCCTGTTAAATGTGTAGGATGAACCAAAGGATTCTGATAGAGAGGAGCATTGGAAAGCAGCGGATTTCTCACTTACAGCACCAAGCTGCTATATGCAAAACGAGCCCAGGAGATGCCTCCCTTCAACTGTAATTGCACTGTTTATAGCAGACCATTAACAGATCTAACCTGGTTTTGCACATCTCACTATCCCTTCTGTTTCTAAGCTGGTTTGGGATACATCTAATCTCTGGGATCAGGTCTTACCTGAATAGGAACAACTGTCTGAGGTGAGGAGCAAGACACTGTACAAGGACCTTGAGAACAGGGCTCCCTGTCAGGAGCAGCTGCCTTGCAGAACATATTTTTCAGCTTTGAGGGTGGCCTGTTTAACCAAGACTGACTATTTCAACATGCTGTGGAGGCTGCCCTGGTATTAATTCACCTCAAAGAGCAGGTTGAAGTCATTAAAATATTTTGCAGGTGGTTCCTTGAATTCATGGTGCAGCTGGATTCAGCCTAAAGGGGGAAAAGAAGAAAAGGAGAAGAAGAGGCAAGTTCTGATGAAACACAAATTAACATAACTCATAGAAGGAAAAGAAAATCTGTTTTCAATCTCTACAACAAAGCCAAGCAACACATCAAGCTAGAAAGGAGAAATGTCAGCCAGGCAGTGCAGGGGGTTTTATTGCTTTAGCACAAGTGCTTCTCCACTGTCCCAGGAGTGCCTAGGTGCTACTGTAGCAGATGGACCCCCTGAGCACAGCTCTGGGCATGCAGGGACACAGGGGGCTTCAGGACAAGGCTCCAGCTCCCATATGGGACCTGGCTTAAGCTTTGTTTAAATGCCCTGGCACAAATCACGGTTGTTTAGATCTTGCGTGTTTGCCTCTGTCTCTCTTCTGCATGGAAACTCTCCACGTACAACATTATTTCTTGCTCTTAAACAGCTGGATCTACTTTTTTCAGGGTGTGCTGACCAGGGCTGAGCCGAGCAGTCAGTGGGACACTCACAAGGGAGAACCAAAATCTGGCATCTCTTCCAACAGTGCTTCCCAATGTCCATGAGCATCAAAGTCCTTGGTCCTGCTTTAGGGAGAGCACGGCGTTTTAACATAAATGTTGTCATACTGGAGAGCTGTACTGAGTCTGACTGGGATAGGAGTAATGTTCTCCACATCAGCCCAAGACAGTATAGTGCTGTGCTTTGGATGTGTGGCTAAAACAGCTAAATGTGTGGCTAAAACAGCTTTGTGCTGTGCTTTGGATGTGTGGCTAAAACAATGTTGGTTACACACCAGTGTTTTGGCTATTGGTGAGCAGTGCTTGCACAGATGAGAGCAGGCAAAAGGCTGGGAGGGGACGCAGCTGACCCAAACAGGTCACAGGGACACTCCACACCATATGACGTTGAGCTCAACAATAGAAGTTCAAGGGAAGAAGGAGGAAGGGGAGATGCTTGCGGTTAGCGCATTTGTCCTCCCAAACAATCATCATGCATGCTGAGGCCCTGCTTCCCAGTAAGTGGTTGCCTATCTGCCTGCCAGTGGGAAGTAAAGAATTAATTCCTCTTTCTGCTTTGCTTGCAAGTGCAGCTTTTGCTTTCCCTATTAAACTGTCTTTATATTGACCTGTGGGTCTAGTCACCTTCCTTCTATTTTCTCCCCATCCTGTGGGAGAGGGAACTGAGTGAACAAACATCCACCCAAACTGGGGGGGGGGGTTTGGCTGGTGGCCAGGGTGAATCTACCACAAGAACTGACTGGTGTGTTAAAATTCACCAACCTTGTTCATTCCCAAAAGAGAAAAGACTGAAAAATCAAGTAAAATAAATGAAAACCAAGACAGTTTACAACCAAACCTACCACTGCAGAGGCAATTGTACAGCTCTGGTCACTGCTGGCTTTGAGATGTGCATCTATGGGCTGTGTCCCAGGTCAAACTACAGCTAATTGTTTATGTGAGAGAGCAGTGTGGTCTGTGGGTAGGGTTACTCTTTGGTTTTTTAAGCCCATCTGCAGAAAAAATTGTGCAGGTGTTGGAATAAGGGGTAGACTGTCATCTTTTCTGGCTGTCACTCTCATTTCAGTCTAGAGGGGACAGCAGAAACGGTGGAGGTTGCTGCCCTGGCTTACCAGACATGACACCTGTTTGTGCTGTCACATCTTCTTTTCCTCATGCTTGGTGGTGCAGGAAAGCCCCCACAATTCTGCCCATTTATTCCTAAAACAGTCTGCAATCAAATAGATGATTTTGGAAAAATTACCGTCTTGTGGATAAATGGAGAAACAGCTCTGAGCTAGGATATCTTCTCAGAAAAAAAAAAAAATCTTTAAAACATCTCAAGCTCAGTTCTTCCAGGGTAAATGCATATCCTGAGGAGGCTAATACATGTTCAAGTTCCCTGGAAGTATCACTGCTGGGAACTGTTGTGTTTAACTAATGCTAGGTTGGAGTTCGGTGTTGTCTCTGCTCTGCCATGAGCTTTTTGTGGTAGCAAACACCTGCAGCTGACAACAGTGGTGAAAGGACATGAGAAAGGCAGTGGGAATGACCAGGGACAAGGCTCTCTCTTTTGCTTTCACCAGAAGTTAAACCCAGGCCTGTGCCATTGAGACAGTTGTGATCTGTTTATAAAACTTGCTTCAGTGTAGTGCATCTTTGCAATAAAAGCACCCTCTTCCCAGCACAAGCCACTTATGTCCAAGTGTAGGAAGGGAAAGGACGAGCCGGAGAACTTCAGATTCTTCCCCAAGACGTAATCAGAGTATTTCAGGGGAGGCAGAATTAGCAGCAGGACAGAGAGGGACCAGAACTTCCTAGCAGGGAGCCTGGAGGGTGAGGCTGATGGCTCACCAAACATGACCTGTAATGTGATGGAAACTGTTATTCTATTAATAATCCCATTTCAGCAAGACCTCAACCTAGGAAGACTGCTCTGAATCAGCAGTTTCTTTTATTTTGTTCGTTCCTGATTTAGTAACCCCAATTGCACAATCAGAGCCAATCTATTGCGGCAGTCAGTGATGGTGCAGCAAGAAATGAAAGACAGCAGAAAGCAGGGTGGAAGGAGTAAGCACACGCAATGGCTAAGCAAGCATGTTGGTACATGATCTCCAATGTCTGTGGTATGGCCAAGCCCCCCAGCACCACGTGCACAGGGAAATCTGCCACATATTTATGGAGGCTGATATCCAGATAGAAACACACCATAACTATCCCAGGCAGCCAGATGCTCACTTGACTGATAGGAATGTGGCAGCACACAGAGCTGCATGGGGCTACATCAACTGGAAATAAGCAGAAAATGAAGTTTGACCAGCTGTGTAGGCAACCACAACTGGTGGGCAAAGTTGGGTTCAATCATGACTTTGCTATGGATCCTCCTGAAATAGCTAAGTGGAGAACTGGATTTTGAACCCTGAAGCAGTGCAGATCAGGACTGTCAAAATTGAGGGCCTCTACCCTTGCTTTTGCACCCATGCTACCTGGGCCATTGAGAATGGCATGGTCACAGCATGATCATGAGAGATGGTAAAGCATACCCCCTGAACTTCTTTCTCGGGCAGGAGGGCACAAAGTTCTCATTGCACCTTTTGCCTTTTAGAATCGTTTCTGAAAACTTCTTTTTAATACTTTTGAAGTAGAATGGATTTGCCTAGAAGTGTTTTTAAAAGCCTCTCTACTGTAAATCTGCTCCCTGTGTGCACCTGAATCACATCCATCCCTAAATATCCACTTGGCAACACAAGTACAGTCATGCCCAGCTCATCACCTGCACCAGCAAGAGTAGATGGCTTCAGGCTCACACAGAATAGTCAGCTGATCCACCCAAACCATCAGATATGGGCTGGATATGAGCCCTTACCCCAGTGAGGAAGATGCACAGGTAGTTACTATGGTCCAGCTGATCGGTGGTAACCTCTCAGGCCACCCTAATTCAAGGAGGGTTCTGAGCTACTCACAATAAAGTAAATTATCCAAATTCCTATGCAGTGTGTGGCAGAATATATGATAATGGAGGATTCCTCTTCCTCCCTGCTGGTGTCAAACCAGATCACAGCTGCACAAGCACTTTTGAAAGGAGAGCACAGAAGTGGATGTAAAAATCCCCACATATTTTTAATGTAAGCCTTTAAGAGACAGGTGCAGAACAGAAGGCTTCATTCAGCACTGGGCTGTCAGGGTGTGGATTTCCAGCTCACTTCCACCTGAAGCTCACGCTACACTTTCTTCCATGGCCACGCAAAGCACTGAGGACCCAGCAGCCACGCAGGTGAGCACAGACCCGCAGCCCAGGAGATGGCCGTGTGATGGGGACTGTCCTGAGCCTCCAGTAGGGCAGCACATGGCAGAGGCATCATGGGTGCAAAGGGCTCTGCCCAGTGCCTACCGAAGGCTTTCGCCTGCGAGCTCGGGTGAGTCATTTGGCTTTGCAAAATCGAAATCAACCCTGGCACAACCGGAGACTCCAAAATGTCAAATGCCACAGCAAGGTCTACAGCCACAGGTTTTACAGGATGAGAGCAGAGATGAAGTGGTAGGATCTGTGTGTGAGGGTGTGGAAAATCAGTCAGGGAGGAAGCAGAGTCCTGAAAAGAGCTTTGGCAAGTGGGCTGCAAGTGTCTCTGCTCCATTTTATCCCAAACCCATTTGGGCTTCAGCATCCCCATCCCACCATCATTTGCTTGTCTTCACAATTCCTCCTGATTCTTTCCCTCCCTGCCCTACAGTTCCATACCATCACTAAAGTGTAATCTTGGTGCAATTTACTGTGCTTTTCACTTGCATGCAGTGCTGTACCTCCCTTCCCAGGGGATGGATCTCCAAGCTAATATTGAACTTGGGATCTTCTTGGCTACATAAGGAGGTTTATTTGTGCTAGAAGCAAAATGACCGCTCCATGCCCAACCCCAGCAAACTGCACAGATGTTGAATAACTCAGGGCTGAATGTCTTGCAGGATCCTACCCAAGGTTCCATGGACATGGTGTCCCCAAGTGAGTGCACAAAATCAGCTGAATATCTTAGCTGTGGGATTTTTTGAGGAACTGTTCAAATTACCACATCACAGTTCTCACAAGTTTATAAAAACTGAGTAGATAGGAAAAGCATATCAGAAAGCACATCAAATCAGGAGGCAGATAGGAAGTCCATTTCTTTATTGTCCATAATCTGACAAGGCTTTAAGTTAGCCACAAGAAATTTGTCATGAAAATTAAAGACAGATACGGGGAAGATGGAAATTCGAGTGATATGAACACTTTCAGCATTTCAGACAAGATTGGGTTTGCTTCAGCTGCTACCACAACCTTTCAGATAAGTGGTAAGGATTCTTTTTATTAAATGGATTGGTATAGATTTTATCTTATCTATTAAAAAGCAGTACACAAAAATGAGATATTATATTTGTGCTGCCTATTAAATTGCTTTAATAATGATTTTCCTAATAAATTATCTTCCATTTAAAATGAGAGGTATATGAAAATGTCCTTTCTAGCCAAAAGCTGATGCTGAGAATCACAAAAAATTAGTTCTTTTCCTGTTTTAGAAAATGCCTGATTTCAGTGAATAAAACTTTCATGTCTTAATAGTTGAGATACTGTAATCACCAGAACAAATACAAAAATGTAAGTGTATGAATTTTTAGCTGAATATAAATATTTCATTGCTGACTAAACCATTCTATTGTAAAACTAATTAAACCATTGTACTCATTCAAAACCAAGACTTTAAACTCCTCCTTACATTACTTTGAAAAAACTCGACTAAAGGCAACTCAGTGAATGCTTGAAGTAGGTATAAATATTTCTGATTTTTTTTCTCCCTAAAACCCAAAAGTCAACAAAGCAGTTTATTTCTTTTACACTTGCTGGTGACAATTTGTTTAAAATGTTGCAGCTTGTTTTCATTTGTTCTGCAGTTCAATTTATTATTTCTTTTTCATTTGTTTCAATGCATACATGATTCATAGCTGCAATTGCATGTATGTGTCGCTCTTGATGGAGAGGGCATTCAACCCTCTTTGAATGACACCATGGGATATAAAAAAGCAATGGAAACAGTTTATTGGTGCAGAAATGGGAGAGCTACAGCATGCTGTTATAGGCTGGGCTGAGTTGTGATGGAAGTGAGCTGGTTAAATTGGCTAAGGAAAAGATGGCCAAGTGAATCGAACTGAAAAGCCTGGGTGAGAGGAAGGCAGCCTGCCTTGCCTGCAGGGCATGGCAGCCTTGCAGAGGGACCTTGCTGCTCCCTGTCGCTGAAAAGCACTGCTAATTTATCGTGGCCAGGCCTTAAATAGCTGGAAGAGAAGGGAGTTAGTAGCAGGAGTTATGTGAGATGATGTCTAGCCTACTTCTGTTGGGTTTTAGAGCCTCAAATCCAAAGAAAGCCATCTACATGCTGTGCCTGGGCAGTCCTCGGCGTTTACCTGCTGCTGCTGACAGCCGGCCAGGGGCTGCTGGCATACAAAGGTAAGGCTGCAACCTTACTGCAAGCTTGACATCAAAAGACAGCTTTTCTGGACATGGGCAACTGGGGATGAGCACGCAGATAGGAAACCTCTAAGGGAGCATGGCTGTTCCTCTTACAGCACAGCAAGTCAAAGCAGCCACTGCAGGAAACCATTCCCCCACCCCATATATGTGCTTTGCATTTGCAAAAGCACCCCTGGCTGCACTCTTGTCTGCAGCACTGGCACATTAAAATCACCTCCCCAGGTCAAACAGTGGTGGTATTTATCCTTCAAGGGTGCCAAGGAGCAGCTGTGCCGAACAGCCATTTCCCAACCAGATCAGGCAGGAAATATTCACCTCATGAGCCTTTTGTTTCCTCAGTTTTTAAGATGCAGAGAGAGATACTGAAATTTCAAGAACAAAATACCTCCTCTACAGAAGAGATTGTGGAAAGCTTCTTTCCCAGCAAACTGCATTTGGAGAGAAACTCTAGAGAGAAGCCCATGGGAAACAAAGGAGAAGACTGGAGGAGAAGCATGGAAGAGGAAATCACTGTAATTAAAAGCAGCAATGCAAACCTGATGATGATGATGAGCAACATCACCCTGATTGCAGGTATAGGTCCATTTCTCCATGCTGGCTGTATAGTGGAGAAAGCTGGTTCTTCTGCACTGCTGGAAAAGCTTGGCTAAAAACCTAGTTCAGATGAACAAGTGACTGGGGCAAGATTTGGTCCTCTTGTCAGTTGCTGATGTCCCAGTGCCCAGGGCTGGACACTTGCTTCAGATGCCTTGGGTGGGGATCTTCACACATGTGGGGAAGCCAGAGCACAGCCTTGTGCAGCTTCCCTGGATCCTGCTGCAGCTGCACATGCAGTGGTGGACTCTCCCCTCCTGAAACTTGTACACCTGGGCTCTGGGTGCCCTCTGAAAGGGTAGTGTCCTCAGCTCAGACATCAAGCCTATCAACCCCATACTGATATGTTCCACACTGAGTGATGACTACTGAAAGAGATCCATTTAATATTCATTTCAGGGCCTCCTGGACGCCAAGGATATCCTGGTCCGCCAGGTATGTTGGTAAATGAGCCGTAAGCAACTTTTCCTCCTTCTCTTTTTTCCCCCTAAGAGACCTGAAGTGAGTGTTTGGACTTTCAGTCTCTAGACCCATATCCTACTCAATGCACAGACACCCAGTGCCCTGACCATAAGGGTCCTGTTGCACCTTCTGAGTGATCCCCCAGGAGCCCAGCTTGCCCAAGTACTGCCACAGAGGTTGGTGACCAGCACAGGGGAACAACTCTGGCTCTGTCTCCTTACTGCTACCCCACCAGAAAAGCTCAGGGGTTATCTGCAGTAATCATCTCAAATCTCCATGTGAGACAAGAGAGGATGCGTGAGGAGGTTATGTGCCTGCTACAACCAGAGGATAGCTGGGTTTTTTGCTCCATACATACCAAGTCCTGCTGTCCAGGTCACTCCAAGACAACTCAGAGAGACCTCCTTAATCCCTGCTCTGCAGGGCCACAGCTAAACAGTGTGTGTAACAGTGGCAGATTTGGGACCTTGCCCACTCTGTCCCAGAGGAAATGACCACACAGACAGGAATGAGCTGGGTGTGAGTGCTCCCCTACACAGTCACACATAAGCTGCTGCCCTGGGCACCTGGGGGTTTTGGGTAGAACTACACTCGCTGCAGGAGATAAATATCTTCAGATTGTGAGGATGCTGCAAGCACTAATCTAATGTTGGCTCCACTTTGAGCAGAGGTTGGACTAGGAAATAGTTTCTGTGATCCAATGATAATGATCTAAAGATCCAGTGATGATGATCTAAGATGCAATCCTTGTTAGGTTAGGTCTGTATCTCATCCATCCCTAGTTCTTGGCTACACTGATGAGTTTTTCCAAAGAAAAAAAACCCCGAACTAATAAAATTTTTAAAAATCATGTTTTCATATTTTTCTGGCTGCACTTACAATGCTGAACCAGCATCTCCTGCCAAGCACCATTACTATATATGAGAACCCAAACAGTTCTGTGCATTTTCAGGAAAGACATCCCCAAAGGTCCCCATGAGCTGGGCTTGGCTGGAGGACAGCTGGCTGCTGCCCAGCCATGCACTCAACCAAGATCCATGGTCTTTATTCAAGACGCTGTTCTGGTCCCTGCCAGTTGAAGATTGGCCTCAGTGGTGACTGAAGCAGTGTGCACAAGTGATGATTAAAAAATTCATCTCTTCTTAGCCATTACTGTGAACAGATGATGTGTGTCTGATATATATATTTTACTTCTCAGGGATACAGGGATTACCAGGGATAAAGGGAGAAAAAGGATTCCAAGGTAAGGCTTTTCTGACACCTGAATTACTTCTTTGGATGAATATAAAGTGGCTTTATGGATGATTTTATGGGCAATCTTGTCTTTAGTCAAGGTGTAAGTCAATGGGAATGTCATTGGAGTTGAAAGAAATAAGCATATGTAAAACTAATGAATGTGGACAAAAGCAAAACTTAGCTCAAAAAAATCTTATTCTAAAAGTCAACGTGTGCTGGTTATGGTGGGCCAGTTCTCCACTGCCACCAGCATCACTCTCAAGCAAACATAGAGCAGAGTTTGGCTCGTGCCCGCAGCTGAGCCACATGGCCTGCTGCTGACATTCACTAGATACAACACCTGATGAAGCATTAAAAAAGTGGTGTTGTCCTCACAGGCTTACGTGGACTGCCGGGTGAGAAGGGGAGTAAAGGGGATCCTGGTACTCCTGGCCCACGTGGTGAACCGGGAGTGGGAGGAAAGAAAGGAGAGATGGGTCTTGCAGGTAAGACTTCTTCATTACCTCAAAATTTTTAAGATTCTCCTGTTTAAACTCATTCTACTTAAAACACCAGAAGAAGTCTCCATAGGTCAGCATTTTGTAAAAATACAGGCAGCCCTGCTGAGTGAGGGAGCAGGACACAGGAACCTGATCTAAAGGGACTTCATTTCATATCAAACTTCAGCAAAGCTCCCAGAGGAGGGCTGGGGGAAGGGGGCATGAAAATTGTTGACTCTGTACCATGGAAGTCTCTTTGTAGAGTGACATTTGTTTAATGAAAGCCACAAGTATTCAATTGTCAGCCTATTCCACATTAAAGCAGAATTGTTTCCAGTAGGATAAAACCTGTTTCTGAGAGCTTTATATCTTATATATAAGCCTGACTTTTATACACCTTAAGTAGAAGAGTTAAGCAGTGTTTCTCCTCCGTAAGCATCTTCTGAATACTGTTGTTCAGTGGTCTCACATGGGCTTCACCTGAAAGCAAGATAGCAAAAGGAAGCAGATGTGTGTGGTGCAGACCATGGAGGACAGTTGGACAGGTTGGTTAGAGCTTCCTCAGATCTTCCATCAGACCACACATGCTCCAGCGCACTTATTAGCACAAGTTGTTCCAGAAGAGGAAAGTGAAAGTAGGATTACCGAAAGGCAAGGACTGTGGGATTATTCTGTAGCGGAAAGATTAAGGTGTCTTTAAATGAGGCATTTTCAACTAATTCAGTTCTTTGGGACCATGCTGATCAGCTGTTCAGAGAAGAGAAGGCTAAGGGAAGATGTGGCAATTCCCTGGAAGCATAGGAGTGGGACACACTGTCCTCCGTTTCCATTGTGGCTAGGAGAAAGGAAGGGTTCAGACTGCAATAATGGGTATTTAGAGAACAAAACATTCTAGTGGTAGAGATAATTTGAGGAATAGACTGGGTAAGTGTCATGGCACCACTGCAAGTCTTTAACAGCAGGTCAGAAAAACATCTGGCCAGACAGTCTGGCAGAGCTGGAGGTGGCTTAGGCAGACTATTGAGGTGCCATCCAGTCCTGTCCTCCTACAGCTTTAAGGGAACGCCACTCAATGGCAAATGCAGGTTTGAGGCCAAACTCTGCTACTTATGCAGCTACACGGAGGTGCTCCACTTCCTTCAAAGATGAATGAATAAGTTTGTTCAGTTTGATTTTGCTTATTTAAAAAAAAAAAAAAAGTTTATACACATGCGCTGTGCTGTTCAATAGGTCCTCAAGGACAGAAAGGTGAAACGGGCAAGAAGGGGTACCCTGGGCCCCCTGGACCAATGGGTCCTCAAGGACAGCAGGGAGTCCCAGGACTGCCAGGTTTCAATGGTAAGTGCGTGCAGAGGACACAGCACATATGCGTGGTGCAGGGCTGCCCTACCTGAAGTGTGTGGCTAAGCCTCATTAGCACTGATGCTAGGATGTTGTTACAGGTAGCATGGGGGAGCCTGGCCGTCCTGGGCAGAAAGGAGAGGCAGGTAAGCATACAGAACATGTAGTTTTCTGTAGAAATATGATACTGGTCTTTTTTTAGATGATGCTTCATGACAAGGCTAGATCCCAACATGAGCAAAAGATGATGATTAGATTAAAAAAACATTCCAGTGTTGTGTAAAATCATTCCACAGCCTTAGCTGTTTCATTTGGACCCTGCTTACTGTGCAGGAGAATGAGTGGGAAAGAAGGGTCCTGTACCATGGAGGGTCATGTCCTCTTTCTTGACATGTGTGCACACAAGGACAGAAAGTGGCTGCTCTGTTAGGACAGCACTCGTGCCTTTCAAGGCTGACAGTCTGCAAGGACAGTCTTTCACTCCAGACCAGCACTCACTGCACCACTAAGACTAGTGCTGATAGGAAAGGATTGCAATTCTGAGAAACCCAGTGACAGTTTTGCCTTCATAGGGTCAACTCGATCTGCATAGAGCAGGGGTTGGTGATCGAACTTTCTTTTTTTCACTGTCATATGTCGTGTTGCATTTCATATGTGCTGCTTTTGCTCAACCTCAAGGTGTAACCGGACCACAGGGACCTCAGGGAATTCCTGGAATCGAAGGCACACCTGGTCAGAAAGGGGAGAAGGGGGACCTGGGCCCCAGTGGTAGTCCAGGTACAACACTACTGAAACCTGTAACTCACTGAGCAACTACTCTGGTCTTACTTTGTGTGATGGCTTCACCCTTACTGATTTGCTTTTAATTTTGGGAATACCAGGCATTCCAGGACTCAGAGGTGAAAAGGGAGACAAAGAAGTACCAGGGAAAGGAGAATAAAAGATGTTCAGGGTTGACAACATGCATCATGCAGACACTGGAAAGGGGTCTACAACAGCAAGGAGATTTGTTGAGTCCTGTTCTTGGAGCCCCAACACATCCCAGGATGCCATATTGGGCCTGGGCCTCTGCTGGGGTGTTAGCTGTTCCCTGGAGGAGTTGTTTCTGCAAGATGAACAAGGAGGTGATGTTGCCTACATTTTTGTGTAAATAGAAAACACACAAAGCAGCATTTTAAGATGAACCAAACAACAACCTCCCTACTGGAGTGAAAGACAAATTGTACTGCCTGTAAAGTTGATGGGGACGGGTTATTGAACATAGAAAGACAGCAAGCATTTGTCCTGGGCTCCTCTGTAGCATTGCAGGAAGAGGTATCTTCGGAGGCCAACTTAGAGCACATAACAAAAAGGCCTTTTCTTTGACCTTACATCTGACAAAGGCCACCTCTCTGCCTCAGGCACCCAAAAGACAGGGTGACATTTTGCAGTACAAGCCTATTCCCATGTATTTCTCTTGAATCAACCATTTTAACCCTGAATTTATGTAGTAACCTCTTATATCCATCAGGAGGTGACAAAGGTCCAAGTGCTGCACCCTTCTACTTTCATTGATACCTGAATGATAAGGATGGGAGTCACCCGGCCCAGCATTATGTTTTTACATAGGTCTGATGCACTTAAATGTACATGTCAGGCTCTCTATACAGTAACTGAAGACCCACCTGGAGGAATGGTTTCTACCCCATCAGTGGAATTTAGGATATGGAATAAACGACCAGAAGTTGATTGACTTCAGGAGAAGACAATTCTCCATTGCCTGTATTTTCTTGATTGATGGGGTGTGCACTGCGTATAATGGGAAATAAGAAACCCACTTGAGAAATAGATGCCTATGGTGTGGACAGCTGAACTAGATGAGTTGAAATTCATTACAAATACTAGTTTGCATTCACTTTTATAAATGTATAAATATCTGTCTTATAATATTGTTTGTTTTGGTGATCTTAGGTCTTCCAGGGCAAAAAGGAGCAAAGGGAAACCAGGGCCCACCAGGTAAACCCTTGTTTGACAGCATGACTTAGTCTGATGACGCAAAGCACTTTAAATGTCACATTTCACTTCTTTGCATCAATGTGAAATGCTCGTCACGTGCCTTTCCTTGGGAGGGGACAAAGGCAATGACTTTCTTGCTTTCCACCCAGGCAGCCTAGGCCTAACTGGTCAAAAAGGAAGCAAGGGTGATCATGGCAATCAGGGTCCAAAAGGAGAACCAGGAGTAAAAGGAGCCAAGGGAGACCATGGATTCCCCGGTAAGTCTGTTTGCCATGGGGTCTGTGGAGCTGATGGTGCATTCAGGTTTGGGACTCTACATCACAAACTGGCACAAGCATGTTAACAAAGCTCATTCGGAGGAACTCAGCAGACAGATCAGTCAGACAGATATGCAAGTAAATAGATATATTAGATTTTCTCAAATCCCTGAACTCACAGAAAACTGGAACAAGCCATCCTCCTCTTGGTACAGAGACATCCTGCAGCATACCACACTGCTGGGATATATCCCATGGCAGTCAGGAACACTGAATTGGAAACACCAGTGCTATTTAACCATGCCTCATTAATTGTAGGACACAAAAATAGTTCAAAAGAGCCAACGCTGCAGCTACTCCCAACCCTTACCCCCTCCCTTCTGATCACAGAATGCTTCCACAAACCATAAGACCATAATGTAGTAATAAAAATCACCAAACAGTAGTTGCAATAGACCACGTGAAGCAGCCAGTGTTACAGATGGTTTTTCTTTTAATTGCTCACATAGAACAGTACAAGAGTCCTCAAACATAAAATAAACTAGAGCCTATGCGAGGGTCCTCCATGCACTCCTCTTGTGGAGCTTTGCCTCTGGAGGAGGGTAAAAGTGTAATTGGGGTGACTCCGGACTAGGGACTCCCTTCTACATGGGTGTCATCTCCTGGTCCCAGGAAGGAGACAGCAATGTGTGCTTTGTGGAGGTAGCTTCTGGGGGAAGAGCTCATTGGGTCTTTTTCAAACACTCCTGCTCTCAAGACCAGGATGATGCACAGAAATGTGGAGGACTGTTGGGAGTGGCTTTCTGCTGCTCGGTGCCAGTACCTGGAGAGCAAATCCCAAGATGTAGATCTTCCTGCAAGTACTCTGGGAGATACCATGCCTGCTTCTGGAAAGTCCAAAGGCTATCAGAGATGTAACCTTGCAGGTAGCAGTGGGAATAAGATAAGCTTCCCATGAATGAGTGGATGGGATTTTGCAAGTGGTCCTTTTCTTGAGTCACATGTTAGTAAGACTTTGCTGTATGGTATACTAGTTTTCCTGCCATGTTTCTTTTACATTCACTTAGTCACTTAAGGGGGTGCATTCTACAAGGGGACAGAGACCTTATATCTCTGACTTAACCAATTATTCAGGAAAAGTTAATAACTGAATTTTTCCCTGAACAGCTGTCAATTTGCTTTTTTTTTATTTGGAACAGGTTCACCAGGAACAAAAGGGAGCAAAGGTGAAAAAGGAGCAGGTACTGGACTTCTATTTCTTCTCTACTTGCCCTCTGGCATTGAAGCTATCTGAAATCAGGACCAACTTGCCCCCTGTGCACACTGGTTAACCTGCAGCAAGGCTACCAGAACCAAGGGGTCCAAGCTCTGAGCTGTAGCCTGGTGTCCCTAGACCCAGGAGAGAGCTTTGAATTGTTTGGATTCACCTGGAGTTTTGTGTGCAGTTCTGGTGTCCTCAACATAAAAAGGACATGGAACTGTTGGAACAAGTCCAGAGGAGGGCCATGAGGATGATCAGGGGACTGGAGCACCTCCCGTATGAAGACAGGCTGAGAAAGTTGAGGCTGTTCAGCCTGGGGAAGAGAAGGCTGCGTGGAGACCTCATAGCAGCTTCCAGTATCTGAAGGAGGCCTATAGGGATGTTGGGGAGGGACTCTTCATTAGGGACTGTAGTGACAGGACAAGGGGTAACAGCTTAAAACTTAAACAGGGGAAGTTTAGATTGGATATAAGGAAGAAATTCTTTACTGTTAGGGTGGTGAAGCACTGGAATGGGTTGCCCAGGGAGGTTGTGAATGCTCCATCCCTGGCAGTGTTCAAGACCAGGTTGGATGAGGCCTTGGGTGAGATGGTTTAGTGTGAGGTGTCCCTGCCCACGGCAGGGGGGTTGGAACTTGATGATCTTAAGGTCCTTTTCAACCCTAACTATTCTATGATCCTATGATTCTATGAGTTACCAGTAACTTGTGGTCCCACCCTGGCTACAGCCATGGGGATGGGAACATTCGTCCAGTTTGGGCAGTCACTGCTTCTGTCTTTCAGTATGCTTTTTTCTTCTTGCCTATATGACCAGTAGAGTTATTTTCTTCTCTTCTGAACTGTCAGGCAGCTTGAGTCCTTTTGTACGAATTGCGGGAGGGGGCAGGAGAGGCCGAGTGGAAATCTTGCACAGGGGGTCCTGGGGAACAATATGTGACGATGGCTGGAGCACCCAAGATGCCACTGTGGTCTGCCGAATGCTGGGATACACCCGTGCGATAGATGCCTTCACAGCCACAGCAGGTGAGTCCACACCAGCTTTTCACCTCCCCAGGCCTGGCATGGGAGTTTACGCACACACAGAAAGCACCATAGCAAGGTCCTCTACATGAGCAGCAAGAGAGCAAAGATGTTCTGAAAGGGACAGCTCATTTCCCTTGGGATGGGGGAGCTGCATGTCCATTGCTGCTTGAACTGTGCCCAAAGGCTTGATTTCCAACAAGCCAGCTGTGCAACCCAACCTACCCCTGCTGTCCACAGGGGTCTCTTTAGAAAAAAAACAAACATATTCTTTTTTTAGTCCAACAGTTTGTTTGTTTGTTTGTTTAATTCATCTTCCAAAGGCTCTGGAGAAATTTGGCTTGATGACGTGAACTGCAGAGGGCATGAGTATTCAATTTTGGACTGTGAAAAAACAGACTGGGGTGTGAACAACTGCTCGCACAATGAAGACGCTGGGCTGGAGTGCATTTGATGGGACAGAGAGGCTGCCCTGGGAGCCGCTGCCTGCCTCTGCTCTCTATGTGGCTTTTCTTCATAACGTGAATCCAATTTAATCAGTCTGTGCTTATGGTCTCTTTACCAGGTCATAGTAATATTGACAGAGAAAGTTGAATTTTCCATAAATCGATAATGGTTTCAAGACCCATAGGTAACCTGAAACATTTCAGCTGTCACTAAACAACCAGAGACCTGGCACGTGAGTCAGTTCACAGCTTTTCCAGTTATGTGACAGCAGCTCATCTGCAGTAGCTCCCATGTATGTGACCTCTGAGTCCACAGAGAAGGAGAGATGGTCCACTTCAGCTTAGTGCAGTAGGAGAGAACAGGATCAGTGTGCAGAAACAGACAGCTACTGCAGCTGAGCTGGCTAGTCCATCTTCATCACAGTACAGTTGTGAATCTAAGCCTAAAGCCCTCAGTGAAGTGCATACATCCAAGAAAGCAGATGCTTAGAAATCATCAGATGATCTTTCTGGCATGAAAATAGAAATGTTCTCCAGAAATCATGCTGATCACAGGTTAAAGTGAAAAAATAAGTGCCTGGGATCTAAGTGCCATACTGTCCTGGTTTAGCACAGACCTTGTTTTTGACCTTGGCCAAGTCCCCTGTCCTATCTGTCAGTGTTTCCTAACCTGTCCTCAGAAGCAATACTCCTTACCTTATCTGTGCATAAAGCTAAGCATTTCACACCTTTAGAAATTAGATGCTTCAGTAAAGCAATAGAACAATGAATAAAAGTTATAATGAGAAAGTATCAGATAATTAAACTTCCAGAGTGAAAATATGGACCCCGAACTGTGGGCTTCTACCTTAACTGAAAGTGTTATATGTGTCTGAGATAATAGCTGAGGGGCTTCTCTTTCTTAAGGATTTTTTTTTCTTGAGTCTTACCCTTTTCCACCAGCACAGGGCATCTGGGAGGTGACAAGCAGCCTCTATCAATGTGGCAGGGCACTTTGCAGCAACCTTCTTGTGTACATTTGATTCCTGGCTTTGGTTTAGAGAAGGCAAGGATTACTTGCCACAAATGCTGGTAGTCCTCGTATTTCGTAGCTGGTGGAAGCATGAAAAACAGTGGCTTATCTGCACAAGAAGAGACAAAAGCTTTCTGTTCTGGTAACGAGCCCCAGCAGCACTAATTCATGCTAAGCACCAGAGCTTGGGCTAACACAGGTTTCTGCAGGGCTCCCACAGACAGTGCTGAGCCTGCATGGGTTTCCTTCATCTTTCTTTGTATGTCAGTTTGTAAATAAAATGTTTGTACTATTAGGAGATATTTATAAGCTGCATTCTTGTCTTGGTACATCAGCATGTGGTGCTAACACTCCCATTTTCTCACATTCCTCCCTAATAGGGTACGTTTGTCACCAGTTTTCAGGGTAAATGTTGATATACTTGAATTTTTCACCAGGCAAAACTTCCACTGAAGGGAAAGTCACCATGTTCCAAATGATGACCCTTTGGCTGGACTTAAATTCACGTAAATCTCCTTTTTGGAGAATGGGCATCCAGAAAATAGCAATTATGCCAGGATTCAGGTCAAGACATAGGGCTTATATCTACATGCCCAGGGCAAAGGACACCACAGACCAGCCCATCTTTCCCTACACGCAGCAGGAACAGATTCAACCCAAGTTACTGTCCAGCAGTGTGGCCATAAAGCCCCTGTCACTTCTTCACCTTGCAGCACTGTTGCGAAAATCTGCACCCTGGAGACAGAGGGATTTTGTGCCAGTTTGGGAGAGCCCATGCCAACACTGAAGAGCTCAGTGCCAAGTACACAACATGTCATTCATGTTGCAGGGACTAAAGGAGGAAGCAGGATGTGGGCAATGGAGGGAGGTCCTGTGTTTAAGCTCAGTGGCACCACAGCTTTGTTACAGCACAGCCCTGAGGAAGTGCTCAAGGTGGCTCAGGAAGGCACACAGTGGGGCAATGGCTGCAAGGGCAGGCAATGCCACTGCTAGAGGGAAACAGGCCAAAACATTCCTGGCAGCATTGCCATAGCCCATTTCATTCAACTGAATGCAGGAACCATTATGAAGTGTCTGCACCAGTACAGTGCATTCTGGCCTGGGAAGGGAAACAGAGGGCTCAGGACCAGGACCTGTGTTAATATTACCATGCTGGTAAAGCCAGATCTTGGCTTGAAAACAAACGTTGCTATCATAAAGCAGCTCTGTATGCCTGGTCCTGAGCTGGAAGTCCAGCCAGATGGGAGGAGAGCTGTGGGCACAAAGCTCACACAAGAATAAGAAACACAGACATTTCTGCCTGCTAAAGCAGAGCATGTCTGAGCAGCAAGAGAACTGAGCCCAATAGAGGGTGTGCCATGCGTAAGAAATAGCATCCCCTGGAGGGGACCGCTGTGGCCAGCCAGCTCGTGGTGCCTCTGATTTCATACTCCCTGACTATGTAAGCCCTGATGGATCCTCTTGGAAAAGCACTGCCCAGCTGTTAATGAAGAGCAGAAGATGCTGGTGGTGACAGCAAAATTTACATCTGATCCTCTTCTGTCCATACTAGAGTGAAATCATAAAGAAGTCACTAATGTCATTAAAGCAGGAAGAAATTCTTCTCAGGTCCCCTAAGAGGCAGATGAGCTGAAGCAGTCATGGAGCTGTGAGACCGTTAAGCTGTAGACTTGCTTCCCACGAGAACCAGTAGTCCAGGTGCCAGAATAAAAACTGGAAGTCCAGCTTTAGCAGATTCCTAAGTTCACAATGACTTCCATGTTTTTAATTCAAATCGCAGATATCATGGCAGCTTCTCACCTGATACAAACTGACATACTCACAGCTGCGTTGTGTTTTGGTAGGGGTAAGAAAAACCCTTATTTCATTCCAAAAACAAAACAAAACCCCAGATTTTTTTTTAAAGCCACTGGATAAAGCTAACGTGGGCACAGCTGCATCCAAATTATCTTCATGTCAATTCTTGTATCAAATAAAGGTTTCCCAGCACGAGCAACGGCTGGACATACCCCAACAGTGTGCCACCAGCGCTATGAGCCCCGGGCTCCTTCCCGGTAACGGCGCGGTGCTGAATTACCGGGGTCTCCCCGCAGATAATGCGCACGTGTATTTATTACAAATGCTCCTTCCCGACACTAAGGGGAGCTCAAGGGCCGCCGCCTGCTCCGCGGCTGACGTGCCGGGAGTCCCGCGGTCCCCCGGCCTGGATGGGATGAGACGGGATGGGATGGGATGGGAGGCTGCCCCTTCCCAGCCGGGAAGGCGGCAGTTCAAACAGCACATCCCTTTTTCCTGATGCTTTCTACCCTGGGGAACCGTGGCTCCTGCGCATCGCAGGAGGAGGGTCCCGATGATGTTTCCACGGGGTGCCTGTTATGTCCCACCTGTGTCACAGGGAGGGACAAAAACGTGTTTTGTTTTGTTCAACAGACTGATGGCACACGCAGCAAGACCTAAAACCCAAAAGCAGGGAGCTTGGTCTAAGAGGGTGAGGCAGGTTGTGGTGGTTTCTTAGTCTTCAGTAGCTCCAGCTGTGGTCAGCCAGTCCTCTTAGAAAGGGATTTGGAAAAATAAGAGTGGAAAATACCTTTGTGGTTCAGTCTCTTGTGCCTGATGGTTTGTGAGAAACTACCAGGCAGTCTGGACAGTTGTACAGGTTTTCTTCTCCACTCTTAATAGTTAGAAACAGTATTTTTAAGGCAAAACCCCAGATTAAGCCAGCATGTCAGAGTGGTCCCCTTGCAGAGACAGAGGAGGGACAGCTGCTCAGCTCACCCCAGCCTTGATGCTGTGAGAGCAGGACACGAGTCACAGCAGCAGCACTTGGAGCTTGAAACCCAGAACCGGGACCCCAAGGCGGTAGGTTTGTGGGGTACACATGCCCCACATGTCTATTTCTGCAGTCCAACAAAGATTCATGGCATCAGGAAGAGTGCCACAAGGTCCCACACCATAGTTGGTGAGCAACCAAAAATGCCTCTGGAGTCTACAAAAATGGGTCTGTGACCTAGAGGCTGGCTTGCATGCCCACACCACCTCCCTCCCCACGTACCCAGCTCAGTGCTATTTGGCCCTAGCTTTTAAGTCTCACAACAGCCCTACACTGCCCTAAAATAGCTGTCTATAATAGCTAATAAGGAACTGTACTGCTTTGCTTATCATCCACTTCCAGCACCAATTAAAAAGACTTAGTTAAACAAAATGCAATTACACTGTCATGGATAAAAGGGATACAATTAATTAAAAAGGAATACTTTCCCCTAGGAATGTTATTTTCAGATGTTCCCCTCCCTGTCCCTGACCACTCCTTGTGATCTGAAGAGATTTGGGGTGGGGAGAATTGGGGGAGTTTGGGTACTTTGTCTTCCCATCTCGCTGACTCGCTTATATTCTGAGGGAAGTTATAAGACCCATGAGGATGCAGATCTTCTCTAGAGCCCTAAAACATTGTTTCCAACATATCTGACAACTGTTGTCCCTGCTTTTCCAAGAAGATGAGAGGCTGTCTGCCACCAAGGTGGGACTTCCCTCCTTCTGGGGAGAAAACAGGGGTTTCTGTCAACTGTGAATGAATGGGAAGCAGCCAGAGACTGGAAGATATGTGCTGTGGCTGGAAGGATTTACTAAAATCTGTGGGAAGGGAGGAGACACATGCCACCTTTCCCAACCCAATGCACAGGCGGGCACCCAGGCTGAAGGTTTTCTAGCTCTGTAGTGCAGAGACACTTGATCTCAGGCAACACCTCTGATCTCAGCCAATACCTCTTCCATGAGCAGGGGCATTGGAAAGCTCAGCTCTGCAGCAGGATGCAGATTTCTCAGAATCGGAGCTTCAGATCATGGAGGATCCTGCTGAGAATGTGTGTTAATAAATACAGAGTATTTGTCTAATCATTGTCATGTCTTCATATTGACAGTACTGTCAAACCACAGAAAAATGACACAGAGGAGAAGGCTGCAGCTTGCCAGTAGAGTTTGTTTAGAGTCTGAATGCAATTTTCATAGCCTCAACAGAATTCACATGCAACGGAAGGCACAGAGAGATGCAGAAGAGCAAATAGCCAGTTCTCCAGGTTTACAAAGCCTTAAATTTATGCTGAATGTATAACACATGTCACCTTACCAAAATTCTTAATGATTCCAGTTGCAAATGTAAGTAAGGCAATTTAATTTGGCTTACAGCTAACAAGTAGGTCTCTCTCAGGGATGTTGTTCTTTAAAGCACATTGAAGCCATCACGTTAAATCATGTAATAAAGGAATGACTCTCTGGTCACATTACATACAGGTAAACATTTTAATATGCGTGCTGGCTATATCTAAAGATTAAACTCATAATGTAATATATGGATCACTAATTGTATTTTAACTCTTCTGAAGTCTTCTGTTTGTGGAGTGAGATCATGTCACCACAAATCTGCCAACACATCTCTTAGTTTTTTTCTGCTAAACATCATGGTGGAAGCAGCATCTGGCCTCAAAAGGCTCAGATATGTTTTTTTCTGTTTCACTTGGTGTCAGAACTGGTCATGTTTTGCTTGGTTAACTGTCTTCCCACCAGCATGGTCCAGCAAAGGCCCAACCAACCATCTAGTGCAGCACACAGCCCAAGCCACAAGTATTTCTGACCTCAGCAGAGAGGCTGGTTTGGCTCTCACTGGCACAGGCATAAAGCTGGAGCATGCACCAATGTATTCAGCTGCTGTGCTATGATGCAGAGCTGAATTTAACCCGAAGTATTTAAGCAAACTGTTAGCGGTAGCTCCAAATGATTATCCACTTATTTCAGTATTTGTCTTTTTCAAATGTGACCTAAAATCTATAAGTAATTAGTTATTGTACTGGCCGGAGTACTGCAAAATGCTTCCCTTCATTTTTTATTCAGACTCTGAGCTATAACTCCAGAATCATTCTAGTCATACCAGCCTTCAAAAGTCTAAACTGGGAGGAAGGGAGGCTAACACCTTAATATCACTGAGATTTGCAAGAATATGTGAGGATTTTCTGGGGATTCAGTGTGAGATTAAAAAAAAAAAAAAAAAGCGTTTTGCAGACAAATAAAGGAACTTGTGCCTCCAATTCAAATGGAAAGACACCTCCAAATGGAGAAAGATTTAAATGTTAAAGTGCTAAATAAACATTGCTATTCAACAGCAGTCTTTGTCTTTTGAATTCTAGGTTAAAACTACTTCACAGGGACCATTAGAGCTCATTACTCTCCTTTGTTGAAACTAAATAAATTTCAACAATACAAGTTTCAGAGTGAAGGGGAATTGCCCCCTGAAACACCTCTCAAGTCAT